GCTGCCAGGTCGGGGATTCCAACTGCAGTCGACTACATGGGAGTCCAGCGACATAGCCATTACACTAACTGCTGGTCCCTGAAACAGTGTTTTGATAGATTCAGAACAAAGCAGGACTGTGAAGAGAGTCAACATCAGGCTTAGACTGCAAAGTGGGTCATGATCCTGGTTTTTGAAAATGTTGCCCAGAAACCCTTTTTCTGAATCTTTGCACCTGGCTTCTAAATTAAAGCTGCTTGTCTGTGTTAAAGTAACTTAGATCCTCTGAGTAAGAATGACATGTTTTAGATATAATTTCAAAGAGCAAGCCTTTGATTTTAGAGGATTTTTTTTTAAGTGGGTGAAAAAGAAGTAGACAAAGAAGAGGGTTATGACACTTTAGAGAAGTAACGTATCCTGGGACCAGCAGATGGCATAATGGTTATGTTGCTGGATTCCCACATAATTGACTGCAGTTTGAGTCCCAGAACCGGCGGCTTAAAACTCATGCCAGGTGCGTGTGCATGCATGCCCCAAATCCTGAGAGATGAATGGAAGAAAAGGGATTGTGGCATGGCCAATCCCCCCAGGGGGTGATTTCTCATTTTCTATCTCTCTGTCTCTTTCTCTGTCTTTCCAGAGAGCACACATGCTCTATAGCAAAAATCTCTCTTAATGCAAAAAAGTAGTATATCCTTGGCAGAAAGGTTGGTTGTTAATTTTGTAGCTGTATTTATTTGTCTTTATTTTTCCTGCCTGACAAATAGCTGTACAGGTTTACCTTCTCTAACTAGCCACATGGTCTCAGCTACAACAATTCACCTCTGCTGTTTTAGTGCAAAAGTGGCTTCAGATGATAGCAGCATGAATTGATGTGACTCTGTTCCAATAAAACTTTATTTATAGAAACAGGCCATGAGCTGGGATAGTTTACAGGCTGTAGTTTACTGGCGCCAGGTTGAGATGAAGTCCTTAACCTATCAAGTCCTTAACCTATCACAGCATTGGTCCTCACGCCTCTCAATAGTCTCTGTAAAATGAATGAGCGATAATGGATTAAATATTTAAGTGTGCACCAGGTGGATATTCCAGCTGCTTTGCACACATTTTCACTTAATCTTTGTTGTAGTTCTCTAAGGAATTACATAGCGATCACTGTTTTTCCAATGAGATAACAGAGGTTCCAAAACTTAAGTATTCTGTCCAAGGCCACATAGACACTTCATGGGATCTGCATTTCTTTTTTTCTTTTTTCTTTTTTTTAATTGTCAGAGGGTGTAGGCACTCCTTGCCAGAAAGAGACAGAGACAGAATGGAGGGAGCACCCGTCTGATGGGCCACGGTCACGTCACAGTCCCTTCGGATTTTTCTATCCCATCAGAATTCTGGGCATGCACACACATGTACCCTGTGTGTTTTTCATGCCTCCATTGCCAGGGTTCAAATTGTGGTCAGCCATGTGGGTCCCAGCTCCTTTAACCACTAGGCCTTGGAACTGGTTTTTGAACCATGGTTTTGAGACGCCAAAGCTCTTTGATTTCATTCCCGTATTTATGCCTTTGCAAGAATGATGCAGCCAAGGGGCCAGCAGGTGGCATGGTGGTTAAGGTGCTGGACATTCCCACATGGCCCACCATGGTTCAGGTCCCAGACGTGGTGGCTTACTTTCTCACTTTCCCTCTTTCTCTGTGTCTCTCGGGTTAAAAATAAATGAATGAATACATAAAATTAAATAAACAATTAAAAAATTGTTTTTAACCAAAAAAAAAAAAAAAGAATGATGCACCCAGAGGCATGAACTGAACTGACAGCTGTGGTAGAAGATTTTTCCAGCCAGCTGCACGTCTGATCTACTCTATGTGGTCAGACAGCCACGGAGGGGGGCACGTTTCTGTGTGGCCGATGACGCTCTCTTATTTTTCCTTTAAAGTATTTTGTTCACATAAACACACATATCCATTATCACCTCTTATGTTAAGAGAGTGAGGTTCTGGCTCAGTCCCGGGCTCCTGCTGGGTTCTGTGGTCTTGTATTGACGTTTCCCTCAGCGTCCTCATTTTAATTACAATGTAATTTCTTTCTGTGTCGAGTTGATGAAGAACATAGGAATTTGGGGAATGTTTGAGGCTGTAATACAAGAGAGCAGTAAACAGAAACAAGGGTAAAGGAACAGATTCGATGGAACTCTGTAAGTATATAGTGGTCAGAAAAAGTCCAGGAGGTAACAGGAAGTAAGTGGTAAAAAAAAAAAAAAAAAAAAAAACACAATAACTAAACCACAGGATTAAAGAGAGGTCCTGGTATTTGTGCAGACACAGTGAACAGTAAATATGCTTAAACTCCCTGTCTCAGTCACCCAGTTCCACAGTTTTCCTTCTTAAAGGCAACCACCACTATCAGATCTGTGTAGCCCCCCAGAGATCAATGCAGACACAAGCATATAGGCTTAGATCTTCTTCCAAAAGGAATTCTGTTGGCTTCTCTCTCTGTAGGTAGAAGGCCAGATTCTTGCTGAGAGTTTGATGAGAGGATGAGTGTGGGGAGCCGCCCACATCAAAATGGCTGCCATGACCTTCACTGCTTAAAAATGGCCGGTGCGACCTTGACACAGACACCAGGAATGCAGACCCCCTGGTTCACACAGAGCTGACAGGTCCTCAATAAGGTCCGCTGTAAACCCCGCCTACCTCCCTCTGCCTTGTGTATATAAGAAAGCGCTCTAGCCCTCAATAAATGAGCGAAACCTTTACATCATCAAGAGCTGTGACACTGTGTGAGCTGTGATACTTCTTTCGCTCCCGTGCTGAGACGCTGCGCCGGTTCCAGACCTCCGCCCCCTCGCTCGAGTTTCCCTGCCTGATTCATCCCGCGGGTTCGGGACAGATGAGCAGACAGGTGGGAACCCTTCCCAACTGAGGACTTAGATTTTTGTAGATACCACTATCCAGGTAACCCAATTGGCCATGTTGCCAGGACAAATCTTTTTCTTTCTCTTTTGCCTTTTCTTTTTTCTCTTCCCTTTAAGTCTTACTCTGTTGCAATCCTCCTGCCTCACTCAGCTTCCCAAGTAGCTGGGACCACAAGTCCATACCATTGTGCCCAACTTGGAGGGTAGACTGGGAAGCATTAATCTGTTTGTGGAGAAAATGGACATAGGCCGCAGTAAAATCTTCATGAAACTCTACTTTTTTAATTTTTATATTATGTTTTTACCATAGGGTGTATGCACTCACCAGAGGGAGAGTGAGAGAGAAAGAGAGAGAGAGGGAGAGGGAAAGTGAGAAGCCCCGCTCCCCCAAGGGGGATGGCCATACTACAATCCCTTCTCCATTCTCCTCTTGGGATTTTGGGCATACCCACACACACATGCCCACTATGATTTTCAAGCCACCATGTCCTGGACTCGAACCACAGTTGGTCATGTGGTAGTCCAGTGCCTTAACCACTACAGCACCTGCTGGTCCCTGTGGAACTCTTTTTTAGGCATTCTCTTATTAAATTCTCCAGTAAGGGTGTCCCTTATACCATATCCACTCCACTCCAAGCCTCACCAGACCACAGGCACAAGCGCCTGGTACACACAAGAAAGCCACAGGACACCAACCTGGAACCCTCCCCCAAGGGTCTCATTGCATCTCCATTGTTTGATTTGTAGGCGTCATGAAGCTTACAGAGCCACGAGGATTTCCTGGTTTTACACTGAACCTTGAATCTGAAGGGCCTCCCCACTAGCCCCGCCGTCCTCAGGCTTTGTCTGACAGGCTTCCAGACCACAGTGACTGCTGCAGTTAGGGGAAGATGGAGACTATTACAAACAGATGACTTTTACGACCTTTGCTGATTGTTCAGCTGGCTCCCCTGTTACTGCTGAGACCAGGGGACAAAGGGCTGGCCTCAGGAACAGTGCAAATATGCACAACTCTGATTTTTGGGGATTCGGTGTGCACAGTGAATGTGTCTAAGTGTGAGTGCCAGTGGTGTCAGGAAGTATGGAAAGTGTGCCTTGTGTGTGTGTACATGCGTGTGTGTGTGCACGCACCGAGAGTTTCCAGCTGGGGTGATTTGGAGGGTATGGTGGACTCTGTGCAGCAGGGCACGGAGTCAGAAGTAGCCGGGTCAGTGTGGTGTGTGTGTGGGGGGAGTAGACTGGGCTTTCTGAGTGACAGTGCGTGCACGCAGGAAGAGAGGCACCTGTTGCATGCGCTTTTCCAAGGAGGAATCCCAGCGAATGAGTCTTGTTTCTCTCTCAGAAGAGTGAGAGACGTGAGGTTATCCGTGCTTTCCTGTAGAGACATATTAAAGAGATGTGGCATGACCCATGCCTTTTCTTCTCCTTGGCATGAGGACAGATAGTGAGAGCTGGCTCATTCTAATGATGATAGCACTTAGGGCTAATAGCTTGTGATTTACCATGACACTGAACAATTTGTTTTTGTTTTGGATTGTTTGTTTCTCAGCTTGCTGAAGGGTGCATATGCTCCCTAGAGAGAGAGACAGAGAGCGGGGAGGGGGAGTGAGAAAGCGCCTCTATGGGGATGGTCTCACCACAGTACCCTCTTCTCCATTCTCCTTCTGAAATTCTGGGCACCCACATGCTGACCAGTCTCTCAAACTGCCATGTCTAGGACTGTAGCCTTAACTACCCCATCACCAGCTAAACCTGTTTTTTTCTTTTTTTAAGAATTATTTCTTTTTATTTATTATTTTTTCAAGAATTCTTTTATTTAACTTCATTGATTTATTTTCATTTGACCAGAGATGGACAGAGTGACAGTGAGAGTGCAAGAATGAGACCAAGAGAGGGAAAGTAAGAAAGCAAGCTGCCAGGTCTGGGATTTGAACCACAGTCGGCCATATAGGAGTCCAGCACCCTTAACCACCACACCACCTGCTGGCCCCTGCTTAACATGTTTTGCAACAGTGGACTATGAGATCAGGAGTCAGATAGCAGCAAGCAAAAGCAAAATCTTTGTCACTCTACAACATCAACACTAGGCTGGAAATTTATGATAGAATGAAGAACCCAGCATGGAGTCAGTTGTGTTTGCCGAGTGCCTAAAAGAGCACCTGGAATGGACTAGGCCCCCTGTAGATACTAACTACTAAGTGATTGGACGAACAGCCAGAGCTTTGGAACATACTAGATGTCCATCAAAAGAGTTCTGCTTAAATGAGCCTGCACGGGGACTGAGAATCCCCAGGCAAACTCCCTAGCCTGCTCTAATCACAGAGAATGTTACTCTCCGGGAATAGGAAGGGACAGTTTCATGTGCTTTGGAGTCTTAGCCGCACTAGCAATGGAACCTCGCTGCAGAAAGCTTTCAGCGAGACCTGCTAAGTAGGTGAACTCTCCTTCATCACCATGGAAACAACTCTCCCCAAAAGCAGTGATTTTGCAACGGGGCTGGGTGCTGGGTGATGCCATGTAGTGAACATAGCAGTCAACGAGGACAAAGGCCTTCGGGGAGGGGAAACGCAGACGGGGCACCGTTTCGAAGGAATGAATGGATTCATTTGCTCATGCATTCCTTCTTTCAGCAAATACTGAGTGTCCACAGCGTGCCGGCGGCTTTCTTGAGTGAGCAAAAGGGGCAAAAGCTCCCCCTTCATGGAGCTTTCATTTTTACCTGGATACAGACGCTACACAAATACAGAGTGTCACGGTGGTTAAGTGTTACTGAGATAAATAAAGCAGAAAGGCGGATGAAAGTGCTAGGAGGGATTGCCATGGGAGGTCAGGGGGTCTGTTTTATATAGGGAGGCGAAGGGAAGCCTTGAGAAGGCAATGTTTGGATAGAGATGTGCCCAAGGTGAGGGAGCAAACCGTGTGGTTATCTGGGGGAAGAGAATTCCTGGCAGAGAGTGGCAAGTCCCCGCTGCACACGTGGAAGGGAGACCATTGAGGCTGGATTGGAGGGATGAGGAGGAGGTAGTATAAGAGCATTTGTGAGCCTCAGAAGTCCCCAGAAGGACCCACTGTCACTCCAAGTGAAATGGAAGCCACTGCAGTCTTTAAGCAAAGCAGTGGCCTGATCTAACTTATTTATTACTTTTTCCGTCTTTATTTATTTATTTTGTATTGCTAAGGATACCTGTATGTGCACAGAGAAGCATGTCCAAGAAGCACCCAGAGCCACCAGGCTCTGTGTTTACTGTGTTTTTCAAGATTACACAGGCTGTTGGTTTAAGAACGGACTGTAGGGGACCAGCAGATGGCATAATGGCTATGTGGCTGAACTCCAATGTAGCCGACCGTGGTTTGAGTCCCAGACCCGGTGGCTTAAACTCACGCCGGGTGCGTGTACATGCGTGCCTAAGATCCCGAGAGGAGAATGGAGGAGAAGGGACTGCGGTGTGGCCATCTTCCCCTGGGGGGTGATTTCTCGCTTTCTGTCTTTCTGTCTCTCTGTCTCTCTGGCGAGCACATGCGCCCTATAGCAAAAACCTCTCCAAAAAAAGAGAATGGACTGTAGAATTAGACTACTGGTCCCCTAGTACAGTAGTTCAAATGTTGTACCTCGGGAGCCAGATACCACATGACTGACCATGGTTCGAATCTTGGCCCCAGTGGTTTAATAAAACACGCAACGTGTATGCAGGCATGCTCACAATCGTGGGATGGAGAAATGAAGGAAAGGGGTTGTGGCGTGACCACACCCCACAAGGGGGTGCTTTCCCTCCCTCTTCCTTTCTCATGAGCACATGCACTCTCTGTCCAAAAGGAGCAGACTGTAAGAGGCAAGATTGCCGCTGGAGACAAGCTGGCTGGAGCTTACGACTTGAGTTTTTGTAGGGATTAAATAATGTAACATTCATCAAATGCAGTGGCACTATGTAAAAAGGCAACGCTGGGCTTCAAAACCCTGAGTTGTACATGACCTCTTCACCGGCGGTGACGCTGTCTTCAGAGGTCACTGTGTGTGAATAAACCACATTTTAGGGCCAGCTGGTGGCATGGAGGTTAAGGCCGCTGGATTACACGTGGCCAGCTGTGCAGTTGCAGTTGGACCCAACGGCATAAGAAACACATTGGGCACACGTGAGCAGCCTTGAAGGGGAACATGACGCTGTGGGGACAAATAGTTATCCAATTATAATAGCAAGATGATTTCCCTGAAGTAAAATATGGGCCTATTTTCCTATGCGAAAATGCGTCGTGACTTTTCCGACAACCCAATCAATACATACATTTTAAATTTAACGCGTTTTGCAACATGTATATATCCTTGTAACTATTACTTAAATCAAGATATAAAACATGGGGCCGGCAGGTGGCATGGTGGCTAAGGTTGCTCAACTCTCACATGGCCGACTGCAGTTTAAGTCCCGTACCTGGTGGCTTGCTTTCTCACTTTCCCACTCTCTCTCTCTCTCTCTCCCTCTTACTCTGTACCTCTCTGGTCAAATTAAAATAAATGAATAAATGAATTAAATAAATAAAGTTAAGTAAAATAGTTCTTTAAAAAATATAAAACATATCTGTTGCCCTATTAAATTTTCTCTTTTTTCTTTATTGTTTAACTACTATTCTGCCTTTTGTCACTATAAATTCAATTTGCCTATTCTTGTCATGGTAGAGCACACGCATTTATGAG